GCGTACATCAAAGAAGAAAGCGGACCTTGGAAAACCAAATTATGCACGAGCTTCAATTACTTATGGAAAAAAGAACTAGAAAGTTCTATAATATCCTAAATAAGACAAGAAAAGAATTCAAACTACAGCCGACGATGTGTAGGGATAAGAATGGACATATAGTTAATACCAGTGACGCAGTACAAAGCAGATGTATAATTAAACCTTATTAATTATTGGAAGTGGGATACGCAATCCAATTCTACCAAGAGACGAATATGGTTGTAACAAATACACTTTTCAAGAAGGCTTTATATATAGAAAGCACCCGGTGATATCCCAGGGAAAATAATAAGAAGCCAAATTGATTGTATCAACAAACAAAAGGTTTAGAAATTCTATCACCCCCAACAAAGCATATCCAGGCGCAGATGTCTTCTCAAATCATAGTCTATTGAACATTGAAGGCCAGATTTTGACTACCATTGAAGATAAATTACGAAGATGGAAAGAATATATGCAAAAATTATTCGAAGATGCAGTACGAAGGGTAGATCGGATGGGTGGATCGTGTGACTAATGTTGAGGTCCTACGTAGCATAGGCAAGGAATGCGAGAATATTTTGGCCATGTAATGAGGAATGAACAGAGATACGGCTTTTTGCAACTCATTCTTCAGAGCAATGTATTTGGAAAGAGAGGACCAGGGAGAAGAAGAATATCGACAACATCCGGAATGGATAGGCACCTTAAGAAGGGAAGAAGCAGCACGAAGTCCGACTGAAATAAACAATCCCTACGGCACAGAACTAACAAACGAAGAAGTAACTATGGCCATTAAGCGGAGTAAAGATATAAAATCACCAGGATCAGATAAGGTGCATGGTGAAATTTTAAAGCTATTAGAGGCACACTAAACCACAGCTCTTACGAAGCTATTCAACGACATTTACAAGACTGGTTACTTACCAAAAGACTGGCTACTATCAATATTCATTCCACTTCCTAAAAAACCAACGCTAGAAAATGTGAAGAACATAGATTAATTAGTTTGATGAGCCATGTACTTAAAGTACTCCTTACTATCATTCACTCGCGCATATACACCAAATTAGAAGAATACCTCAGTGAAGTTCAATTTGTATTCATAGCAGGACTCGGAGCGAGGTAAGCACTTTTTAGTTTATAAGTTTTAATACAGAGAGCCTGGGATGTCAACTGCGATGTGTATGCATGTTTCATTGATTTTGAGAAGGATGTCCTAAAAACATCAGGACTAGATGGTAAGGAAATAAGACTGAGTTCAAACTTATATCTTCAATAAAAAGTAACAGTGCGATTAGAAAATTAATAGTCCGAGATCTTCACAGTCGAAAAAGGAGTTAAACAGGGTTGCATATTATTATCGGCATTATTTAACATATACTCTGAATACATCTTTATGATTCTCTGCAACTTAAGTATTAATATACGCATAAGAATTCTTAGATGTTACGTCTTTAGTGTCATCCTCTATGGAGTAGAAGGCTGGAGCCTTACAGAAGATGCCATAAACCGATTAGGTTTGCCGATTAGCATTTGAAGTATGGCACTACCGACGTATGTTGAGGGTATACAGCACACAAGCAACATAAGGTAGAGATGTAATATCTTTCATAAAAATAGGTAGGTAAAAAAAATCACCCAGGTGAACCCCATTAGCGGCACCAGTAGAAAATTGGAGTAGAGCTAGACCGTGACTGAGATGGAGGGCAACGATTGGCTATGAACAGAAACGATTGGCGAAAATATACTGAGGAAGAGCTGTAGCACACCTGATGATGAATTTTTTTTATTTCTGTTTAATATTCCAATACTGCTAAAAGGCGTTTTTATTCCACACAAACTTTTTCCGATATTTGGCTAACTGTACTATAGTGTCTTCTCCAGGTGACTTTAAGTGAAAACCATTCTCTATTGTTGACACTACCGATGACCCTAGCTTAATTCGAAATTTAAACGATAGTTGTACGGTGTTATGCATCACTAGACCAAACACCATTTTCTCAAATTGTAGATTATAGCGCTTTCTGGTGGGAAATAGCATAAACTATCTACATAATAAATCCCATTAGTCTGTTAGTAACGGTTAACCATATAAATTTAAAAAGACCAAGTGGCTTTCGTCTTAATCTGGATTTTGAATTTTGCATAACTAGACCAAGCGACTAATTTTTTGTATTAGTTTTGTATCAGTAGACCAAGCGCATCTTGCGAGCATTTTAATACTAATAAATTAAAATAGAGCATCGAATTGTACAAGCACGAAGAGCTATAGCATGTTTGAACGGAGTGCTAGGGAATAAAGAAATATCAAAGAAAGGAAAATGGAAGATCTAAGAAACAATGGTTAAAACTAAACTACTTTATGGAGCTGAGACATGGAGAATAACCGAGAACTATAAGAAAAAGGTCGAAGCCACGGAAATGGATGCCATCAGAATATCGATGAGAATATCAAGAGCCAACAGAATACGGAATGAAGTGATAAAACAACAAATGGGTATAGAGGGCACTATAGTTGAGGATATTGAGAGAAAACAGCTCATATGGTATGGGCATGTGAGCCGAATGGGAGACGAAAGATTGCCTAAAAAAACAATGATGTGGCAACTCCCCAGAGTGATGAAGACCACCACAGAGCTGGCACCTGGGAGTTAGGAAAGCGATTAGCGCTCGAAATCTGGACGAAGACCTAACTCAAGACAGAATACAGTGGCGTTTGGGAGTCGGACAACGTCGTAAGACGTTATAAAACCGAATATATATATATATATATATATATATATATATATATATATATATATATATAAATCGAATATTTGGCAACATACGTACGTACATGAACGTTGTTGACAATAGACGTTTAGGTTAAGAAATAGTGGCAGTTATTGTTTAAATTTTTCTATAAAATAACCTGTAACAAACCAAACCCCTGACGCTAGGCCTACGGAGGGAACTTCGTTGGAACAAAGATGTTGGCAACTATGATTACAAACCGTAAATCAGACATATAAAACAGTAAGGTAAGCTGGCTTAAAACAAGAGAAATTGAAATAAGAAAGGATAAACCACTGAGTATTTTTATGTAAACTGATTTTAACACTAGTGAAGTTGACGTAGATCTTCACAAGAAACTTCAAAAAGGACGGCCCATTGCAATGCAATCCCTAACTAACCACTTGATTCCTCTTTTGCCCACAGGCAAGCCACTTTCTAATACCAAAAGATGAAAAAAGCCTCTGTATCACTCTCTTTTCAGTAACAATACAGTAGAAGATGACATTGACGGATTTGATGAAAAAATTACTATTGTAACATTATACTGAATATTAATAAAGTGAAAACTTTGAAGTCAAATATCTCAAAATCAATTTTTGGCGCTTGGTCTAGTGATGCATAACGCCGCGCCGTCCAATTAGGCAATCTTAAAATGGCATTTAAACAATTGTGACACCTATTACATTGACGTGAAACAACTACATGCAAAAATGTATCTTGGTACTCGATTCTTCATGAGATTATTCAATTTATAAGTTGTAACCTTAATTGTTTTGCCGTCACTGTATAATTGCGATTATATAAAACTTCTGCCCTTGAGTGCATTGAATCTTTTAAAAACGGAGACATAACGGCGTCGCGCAGGTGCAGCTAATCGCAATCGTCAAACAATCGTATCAATCGGGAAATAATATCTTTGCGGCTGGCGGAATAAGGTAACACCAAGAAGATTGGAGATATAAGTGAATACCTCTACGTAATATTAAAATAGCTGATTATGCACCCATCTGTCGTGCCGGGTATGCGCTTGCCTTCAATGCGGAATTCCTAGGTCTAGGACTTTTGCCGTGAAACGTTCACGTCGTGATTTACACATTTTTAGGCGGTTTTGAATTAAACGAAGGTTGCTAACTGAGACTTTGTCAATCAGTGCTTTGTTCATCATAGGAAAAAATAGGGTTTTACTTCATTAAAGAAAATATGCTTTGAATTTTGTTATTCCTTTCAGGGCTAAGCGTTTCTTTAGCTCTGGTTTTTCGGTAATAGCAAATTTTAGTCGGAGAAAGAAGTATTTCACGTAGAAACAGCACGTTTTTTCGATCTTATTTTCTCTTGTTTTAATCAAGTTTGACTTAATTACTATTTATAACTGGAAATAAGCCACAATTAAAGATAAAAATACGTTTATTGACGTTTCAATTTCCAATTCAATTTCGATTTCCGAATTGGAAATTGAAACGTCAATAAACGTATTTTTATCTTTAATTGTGGCTTATTCCCAGTTATAAATAGTAATTAATTTACAATGCCACAAGAAAATAGCTTCAGAACAATATCAAGTTTGACTTGTTATAGAGAGAGAGTTATAGTTTCCAATATAAATTTCACGGGACATAAGTCACTCCACTTGCTCTGCTCTGCTCGTGAACAAATACTAATTTTTTCTATTTTTTTCTTATATTCATATTCGCAAAACATTTGCACAAATTTTGCGAATGCGAATGCGAATGCGAATGCGAATATGCAAAAATATGCGAATATTCGCGAATGTGAATATTCGTTACATCACTAATACAAACAATTGTTTTCATCTAGTTTATTAATTGAAAACGGTATATTTGCAGTTTTAAAGGATGACTGTGGTTATCACCTTGGAAAACTACATGTACTGTTGTGAAATGGGATTAGAAAATCGACAAATGTTAATTTGGTTATTGGCCCACCAATTGGGAGACGGAACTTAAACAAGGAGAAACTGCTTATAAATGTTAATAAACAGATTCGACTGTTGTTGAGAAATCCGAAGAGAAAATTAATATGTATATGTCAGAGAAGAGATTTTCCTTGATTTTTCTCTTCTCAAATTCTGTTCATACAGTTGCAATTATCGTCCAACCTTAAGTTACAGTTACAGAAAATACCACTACGTTAAAGTCGTGACAGAAATAAAAAGCGACATCGTAAGAGAAAGAGACACTCACCTGTACATTTAAGTTCTTTGGTTAATTCATCGGAACCGAGGAAGCAGTTCGGCGTTCCATCACATAATTTTGATAATTCGAACAACTGTAAAACGTCTGTCGATTCGTTGACTTGGCAGCCGAAATATCCGTCTTCGAGATTTAGAAAAAACACTTCTCGTCGTATACCGAATCCAATCCCTCCGAAGGATTGGCCAGTCTGAAACAAAAACAACACAAATTAATATTTTAGTTAATGTAGCAATTAAGTAAAAATGATTACACGTTATTTCCTGTTGTCATTATTGGTTTTTTAAGTTAGTTACTTGGTAGAAATCAATACGTTAGAGCATGTGTTTTTTTTTTCATGTTCTAATTGTAGCACGCTGTTAAGATCCCAAAATAATTTCATTTGTTCCTTTATAAATTAAATCCCCACTTGATATAGCAACGCATATTTAAATGCAACCTAAACATTTCGTTAACTCCAAACTTGGACAAGCCTGAAAATGAAGTAAAACAATTTTACCGAGAGATTAAGGAGTTAATGAAACTGGTCAAAAAGAACCAGACTCTTATAATCATGGGAGATTTTAATGTAAAGGTAGGGCGAGGACATATTGTAAATGTCGTGGGTGACTTTGGTTTGGAAGATCGAAACGAGAGATGTGATATGCTAATACAGTTCTGTCAAGAAGAAAAAGTAGTCATTGCGAATACCTGGTACAAACTGCCACCTCAGAGACTCTACACCTGGCAGTCTGCACACATACGAATGGGAACATCGTAAGAAATCAAATTGATTTTTTATTGATCAATCAGAGACACAGAAATGAATTGCAAGGAATAAAAACGTACCCTGGAACAGACATCGGATCTGACCACAATCCCGTAGTAGGAAAATTAAAAATTAAGCTTAAGGAAATTAAAAGAAAATTCATAAAGAAAGTTGATATAAACAGCATAAAATAACCTAACGTTAAACTAAAAGTCACAGAAAAATTAAATGAGCAATTACTGACAGCCCCCCAGATTTGAATCCCGTACGTCCTTATAGCCTCATGAAATTACTTTTTTCAGCCGAGATGGGAAATTTTATGAAGCAATTTTTTGTTAAATTCCAATACGTACTTTTTTAGAATATGGAGGTGGTTAATCTAGATCATTTCGACTTCGAATATAAATCACAGCTTGAACCTCTTCTCCAAATAGCTGATATAAACGTGCTTTTGACTTTTGCCTTATAAACTAGCTGAAAATTATTGACTTGGGTCCAGATATATGATCAGTTACCAGGATCTTTATTAGTAAGGTAGTTTCTCAAACTTTGTGGTTCGCAAAATCACCAACATATACAGCAGGTTGACCAGCTATGGCTGTGATGTAATGCAAGGATATACCATATAGTTTTTTTTTTCTTTGTTGGTGTTATCCATTTTTCTGAATTAAATCTAAATTAGCTTTTAGATGTTGGGACATTTTAGACCTATATTAATTTTTATGCTCCAGAAATACGTTCCATATTTACTTGACAAATACGGAGCTCTTAGAAGAATCATTTGCATTACCCATCACAGTTTCATATGATGTCATTTTCATTTCGCTTGTAAAAATCAGCCAGGATAAAGATTTTTTTTACTAGCGTTCCAACATTCTTGTTGTTTTAGGATTGACCAAGGTGCACGTATAAGTATTATACCACGAACGCGAGCAAGTTTGTATTGGAGACTTCAACGCTCAGTCACAACAGAAATACCAATAATATTTAAAAATTAGGGCGTAGGAAATTTCGACACTAAGCAGGTAGCGACTAAAATTTAATGGCAATTTTCGACACCAGCCCCAATTCCCGTTTTTATCTTTACAGGTATATTCGACACCAAATAAATATAGCTGCGACATAAATAAAATACCATAATTAATTTATTTATTTTAATTAAAGTAATGTGCATTTTATTTCTTTATAACTGTAATAACATCTAAATATAATACAACTAGTACCTAATTTTTGTACATTTTTACCGTTAATATACTTGTATACAATGATTTATTTGCTATTATAGGAATGATAAGATACAGCTTTTATAAAATCTAACCTACGTATTTGTTGGGATCGTAGTTTATCCATCATTTTCTCCAAAAATGCCAATTTAGCCTTAACAGTAGTATCTTTGATTTTTGCTGGTAGGTATATGTAAACTATTTATTTTGACATAAGTGTCTACTTGAAGTTCTTTTAACTTTTCAATAGAAATAAAAATAGAAGGATGTGTTGAATAAAAAGAAGAATTAAATCTCGAATGAAAGGATTCACAGGCATTTGTGGTCCTCGCAATAGACGGATTCTGATTAGACCATACGTGTGGTGGAAATAAAGCGCTATCGAAAATGTAATTTTCCAGTAAATAATCTGCATATATATCAAGTGTTGCGTTTATAGGTTTATATGACATTAAAGCATAAAGAAAACATTCTTTAACTTCTGCTGGATTTAAATAAGTTAAACCAAACGTATGCCTTAACCATTTTCCAATTTCTGAATTTGTATCCTTATATTCTTGTACCAAACACAAAGATTGAATTTTTTTAAACCAGTTTTGGTGTAAGTAAAAACGGCATCCACTAATTTTTGCTTTGGGCCACATATACAATAAAGCACAGTGAATTGCTTTTTCAAAGTCCACAAATATTTCAGTTGGCTCTAATGATAATTAAAATGTTTCAAAAATCTTAGACCTTAATAAAGAAAATAAATTTTTGTATGTCATTGACAATTTGTCCTTTAACAAACAGTATGCTAAAGGAACATAATGTCCATTTTCCAAGCCATGTATAGTAAATAATTGTAGAAAATATTTGGTACTGTATGAAAATGTACCATCCACACACAAAGTTTTTAATTTACACAACAAACGAATATTTGTCTCGCATGAAAATACAATTACATTTATTTCAGGATGATTTAAAAACAAAAAACTTTCATTGCGACAGGTTTTAGGAGAATAATTACTAACCGCGTTATGGACTTCTGATATGCTTCTTTATAACGGACCTGGTAACAGTTTACGACGACAGTTGTAAATGTTCTTTCTTATGCTAGCTATGTCAGGAACCGTCAGCAAATTGGCATCACACTCAGCAACAGCAGTTCTTGTAATTTTGGCAGGCTTTTCCGATATGTCCTCTTGGGTTTTTCTTTTACATGCATTGGTTACCATCTTTACTTCAAGATTTTTTGGATTGGCTTCATGATTATGTACCAAATCACTTCTTGTGATAGTGATGCCCTCACAGCCTATTGTAAACACTTTTGCGGAACACTTAGTGTTTCTTTGGATGCAGCGCCAAAATATCTCTCCGCTTTTTAACACTTTCTTTTTCGAGAACGATGCTCCATTACTAATAAATCTCGACCACGGGAACTTTTTATCAAACTCATTTTTTAAATATCCGTATACGTGCACAAGTCATCGTCAAACAAGAAATAAATTACCACTGAAATACTGAAATAATTTGGTCACAAGTACACAAGTGCCACGCCCCCGCCGGGACAATAAATATTGGGAAAACCCGCTTGTCCTGCTTGGGTGCAAATGTCCATCGCCGCTAATTACCTACCTACCTGCTTTACGCCGCGGTGTCGAAATTTCCTATAATAAAATTTGACCCTTCGATTACCCCAGGTACAAAGACAATTGGGTGTCGAAAGTTCGCCCGCCGAAAAATTATAACCAGGCAAAAGTCCCAACAAAAATATTAAAACTCAGATAAAAGGCACTAGCTGTAAAAGTATACGAGGAAATGTATCTTTATAGTTTTCCCCGGAACCGGACGTTTTCACTTCCGAATCCATAATTTTCCTTAACAAATTGCCTGTTGCTATCTTGTATGTTGCTTCCCTATTGCTATATTTGGATTCTCTAACCCATGAGTGATCTTCTTCTTCTTCTTTACGTGCCATCTCCACGAAGGAGGCGATCATTATGACTATTCTGATCTTAGATGCTGCCGCTCTGAATGGTTGAATTGATGTGCATCCGTACTATTCCCTCAAGTTAGGCATATATGAGATTCTTCTCCTTGGGTAACATATCTTGGTTCACATCCAAGCATCTCTGGATTAGTAGGTTGAATGCAAAAAGAGCTTCACGGGTACCTATGCCTCTACGAAATCCAAATTGGATTTTTTTAATATCCATATCAAGTATTTGGTAAATGCGTTTATGGATGATTTTTAAAAACATTTTAAGTGTGTGAGACATCAGACTTATCAGTGAAATATCAGGCCTGAGTGATAAAAAAACAAATGTATTGTACAAAACTAACGGATATAATTTATTATGACGATTCAGTTCAGATTTTTATTTGCTTAACCAAAGTCCTCTTTGACTTATTATAGAAAAAACGATTACATTTACAAAACAAAATCACTACCATTAACAATGTAGTTAGTACCTATTAATTAAAAACCTATTTGGCTAACTACTTTTTTTCATAGCCTTGTACAGTAGGAGGATGATCGCGAAGCGTCGATCCACAATAAGACGTTTAATTCTCAACATTCCGAAAACGGTATGATGGTATGATGACACAACCCATCAACAATCTACAATAACCAGTTCTTTGATTAATATTATACAATTATTTTACTGTTACAGTTATTTTGTCTAGCGGAACTCTCGTGAATAGACCAACCTTACGCTTTTAAATATTTTTCAAACACAAACACCGCCCAAGGGGGATATACAGATTGTTTCTGTTTGTGGTATAAATGGGAGCAAATGCATTAAAGAAAATTAATGAAGACATTTCATTTAATCTACCATTAAATTAACAAGAGTGTAATTGTCTTAAAACAACATATACAACCTGAAAACTGCGATACGTACATTATAAAAATTCAAAGATTAAGGAGAAAAAACTTACTTATGAGGAACTCCGGGAATAAGCGAGGGGGAATCACTACAACAAGAAACCCACACTACAATAATTGGATGAAAGCTTTAATATACTTATTCTATTCTTAATAACATATTGTTAGTTTATAATGAGTAATTAATACACAAGTATAATAAAAACATGGGAGGAAGCGAGCAATGTGATATGTGACAGGGAAATTACAAGGAAACTGAAGGAAAGTAATAGAAATAGAAAAAAGAGGTTAGTCTTCGTAAATGGGTATATTTATTTAAAAACCCTTAAAAGGGCCACATCAAAAAAACAAACGTTTTCGGACTAATCAGTCCATCATCAGGTTTAAAATTTTAAAATTGCAAGGTTATAATGCCTGAGCCACCAAAATACCTGGGTAAAAACCCTTTAAATTACATATAGTTGTAAAAGATTATACATCATGTTGTACAAAAACTGTGATGTTCAGTATTAAATTAAATTTGACTTCAGGTAACATACATGGCTGAAGTGAGTTCCAGAGCCGGAGGGTAAACCTCTTCTTCCGTTTGTCTATCACACCACAAACAGTGTGTCTATCAAAGTACTTAGCTAACAAACGTCTGTCTCAAAAAACTCGTATAAAGCTGTATAGAACACTGATAGTCCCCGTTCTCACTTATGGATAAGAGGCATGGACGCTAACTAAAACAGATGAATCCGCTCTATTGATTTTTGAAAGAAAGGTGCTACGCAAGATATTCGGAGCGGTCTGTGAGAAAGGGAATATGGAGGCGTAGATATAACTTTGAACTGCAGAATATCTACAAGCATACGTTTGGTGGTAAAGATATTACCACTATAATTATGCGAAACCGTCTGCAGTGGGCAGGACATGTAGCCCGGGCCCCTGAATCGAACACGATAAAAAAGATTTTTTTTTTAAAAAGAAAAAAAGAAGAAAAGAACAGCGCAACCCGTGGGAATGAGAAGACGGGATAGACCCAAACTGAGGTGGATGGATGGGGTAACACAAGTTTGGAGAAGATTGGAGTCGGCAATTGGAAATGCAAGCAAGGGACAGAAAACAAAATGACAGAACGTTAGAAAGCTTGAGAAGATCGAGGCCCTCTAAGGGCTGTAGCACCAAGATGATGATGATAGATTTTTGACAGTGCTACAGTGAATGCAGCACCTTTGTTGTTTAATAAATACTAATAATAACAATTTATGAACATTTGATATATCACATAGTAATAAAAAACATTTTTGATGAATCTGGATAAAATAAAAAACCTATGTAGCACTTAATTTCCGAAGGACTGTACATCCTTGTAAAGTTTAAGGAAAGCAATCTTGCCACTATAATTCAATTAATTATATACACCGGAATCACATCGAAATCTGATGACTACTTCTAGTAATGTAAAGTATTTATTACTTGTCAAAGTTATTAACTAATTAGCTATAACGTTTCCTTAAAGCAATGATATCACGATTCAAAATTAACAAAAGGTTGTTTATAAATCAATCCATTGCTATAAAA